TGAATGTTTGTTTCTGTTTTGAGAGGGTCGAGGGGTGGAGGAATTGCTTGGGGTTTTGGGTCAGAGGGTCAGTGCTGAAATGATATTCTGCATTCATGCATGTGATTAAGGCTGTTCATATGGACAATCGCATACTTGTGCTGAGTTTCTCTGTTGTGATGTATTACGTCAAGTGTGCTAGAGTGTGATGACACATAAAGTGGGAGTAATAGTGACATGCCTCAGAAAAACTTAAAAAGTACAAAATAAAGATGATTATGAAAGCATGGAGTTCATGTATTAAAGTCTACCAATATATACACTACTGTTCAAAAGTTTGGGGTTAGTAAGATTTTTAAAGTTTTTTTTTTTGTCTCTTATGCTCAGCAAAGCTCCATTTATTTGTTTAAAAATACAGAAATATTATTGAAATGTAAAATAACAGTTTTCTGTTTGAATATATTTTAAATTGTAATTTATTCCTGTGATGTTAAAATGAATTTTCAGCATCATTACTCCAGTCTTCAGTGTCACATGATCCTTTAAAAATCATTCAGATATACAGATTTGCTGCTCAAGAGAAAACAGTTGTGCCGCACCATAAACTTTTAAACTCAGATGCATACATGTTATGATTTTATAATTATAATATTATAATATTGAAGCATGACCCTTAAATAAAAATCTGCTTGCATATTCCTCCATTTGACCAGCAGATGTGGCCAGTGTGCTGTCTTTTCAGCAGCTCAAAATATTTTCAGTAATTATTGGTTCAAAACTTTTTGGTTAGATACTTTAAAATTTTTTTTCAAAGTCAAAATTACCCCTACTTTAGCTTCTTTTTTTTTTCTTTTGTAATTTCTATGCTCCTAGCTATAGTTGAAACAGATAATACTATGGATCTACATTTAAAAAAATGAGACAAATTATCTAAAAATCCAAATACTTCTTTACAATTTCTGTGATGGTGTTGGCATATCATTATTATAACAGAAAATGTAAGAACAATTATTGTTATCATTATTTTAAAACACACACACACACACACACACACACACAATTCCCTAAACAATAGCTGCTTTTCCACTGTCGGGCAAGTCCGAGCCAGTGCTTTCAACAGGCCGGACAGGACTAAAAGCCTCGGACCTGTAGCACTGAGCCCAAAATCTTGATCAAAAATTTACCTAATTTGGGGTTATTTTCAAAATGGAAATGATTGAAAACCAATGTCTGGTAATGTTAAGACATTTTTTGTCCCATTTTTCAAGAATCATTTTGCTAAACATACATATATCGATTCAAGTTTGAAGTTGATAGTTGATATATGATTGAAGATTGAAGTTGATATAGTTCCCCTTTAAATGCACTCATTGTAGTTTTAGAAGTGGTTCAGTTTTTCTCCACAAGGTGGCTCTGTGACTTTATACTAACCCGACTAACTCCTCATCAGTGTTGCCAATTTAGCAATTTTGTTGCTAAATTTAGCAACTTTTCAGACTACCCTAGCAACTTTTAATTCCAAAAGCACCTAGCAACAAATTTAGCTATTTTTTAAAATTTATTTGGCAGCTTTTAGCAACTTTTGATAAGTGACTCAAACGATAAAAAGGCACAATTTACCATTTAAATTACACAAAAAGAGGAAACCAAAGATGCCTAGAAAGTACATACATCACATGAATTAAGTTATTGCTATTTGTATATATGTTTTTGCTGAGATTTGACATAATTTTGCATTGTGATTACGTAATGACGTCATCACGCAATGTCATCACAACATCATTTAGCAACTTTTAGCAACAAATCAACCTTCCTTTAGCAACTTCCCCTGAAAATTAGTTGGCAACACTGCTCCTCATGAGGGAAGAGGTTGGTTTGAACTGCTATGCAGTGTTTATTATTGTTTTATCTAGCACTCACTCAAATTATATAGAATATTTAAATCTATTAAAATTTCAGAACTTTGTCATATTTTTCAACTTCGCATCTTCCTTGATTATTAGCACCCAACAGTCTGGCTAAATAATTTCAATAATTCAAATTGTTAAAAAATATTGCTAATGTTTCTCTTATGCTCGTTTATATCGTAGTAAACTGATAATGTTTGATCACAATCTAACCAAAATCTCACATTAATCATAGGAATAAACATTGAACTGTGTTTCTGGACTCATGTTGAGATACACCCTTACTCTGAAGGGAGTGGTTTTTCTCATGCGAGTTGTTTTTGGACAGCTGTTCTCCCTGTCTTGTGACTCCAGTAAAAATAACAATGATTATTGCTCGGCTACAAATAGACTGGATCTCTATATGGCTTTATATAGATTAAGTAACACATAAAGCCTATCGGTATTGGAGAGGTGACTATTTATTGGTCATCATGTTCCAGTCTTTTCTGGAAATGTGAAGTGTTTGTTTAGCTGATTGCGCTATTTTTGGCTCCCGTTAGTACACAATGGAGTGCAGCCATGTGAAGATGTGTTGTTCTGGAGGCATGAGCTCCGTTCTGACACAAATTACCATAATATTACTATTTCTCACATCAGTGAAGATTTGTTATGTAAGATGGCTCTGCTCCCTTTATTCATGTGCTTTTTGCCTCAGTCTAGTTCTGGCTGCCTGTTATCACATCTCTCTTTTACAGATCTAATCATTCCTTCAAGGCTAAATAAATAGGCGGGAATTGCTTCTTGAAGGCATTCTTCCATATATGATGCTTTTTTTCAAATGTTCCCGAAACATAGCCTATTTCAAATCCAGCAGTTGAATCGTTTTGTGATGAGTAAGAGTAAGAGTAATAAGTAAGAGTATAAGTCTCCCTAGTAGCAGATGCCATCATTCATACTCAACCAAGATTGGATGCTGAGAGCTTATGAGATATCGTGCTGAGCCTGGCACTGCACACAGGAATATGATGCTCTGAAGGTTGTCGGAGAGTGTCATTGTTATGATGTGTTAAGCTGTAACAGCTGTGTCCAGGAAATAAAGTAGCCTGAACAAAAAATAGCAAGTGTTGATTGGTCAAATTCCCCTTAAAGTTTTTGCAGTAATCATATCACATAGTTTAAACGAAAGCCTTTTTGGGTCGCTTCTGATTTCCTTATCAAAGGTAGTTCAACAAAGCAACACTTTAAAGGATTAGATTCCCATGTTTTGGAATCTTAGCTCAGTTCCTTTCAAGTATGTTATCAAGATTTCGAAACGGTACATTTGGGTTTGGTGGAAGTGGCTTTCAAAAAGCAGAGCTTCTCTTGACAAACAAATGTAAAACTCACTATACCTTCATTCTCTAAATTAGTGCTGAGTGCCGCCCAGGTTACACCCAGATCTCAGAACGAACTGATTGAAATTCTTCACATTTTTCATCTCTCTCCTTTGTGACAAACAGGGGAGTTTTGTCTTTCTTGAAGTCCCAATCGTGGTGGTTCAGTCACAGGCTGTTGGGTGGATCTAAACACAGAGCCTCAACGGCTTCAATCTGTTCAATTCTCCAAATGTGGAATCTGTAATTAGAAGCACAGATGCACCCTCCCCTTGAACCAAAATTATCTGAGAAACCATCATATTTAGGGCTGTTTGGGTTGCTCAGCGTCTGGTAATGGGAAATGTTCCGAGACGTGTGCCCAGTCATTGTTTTGGGGAAAGAAAGCAACGTTTCTTTCTGAGAAGCACTTTCTTCAGTGGCCTGTTTTGTCTTTTATGTTGTGTGTTTTCTTTTATTCCGGCTTCTGTTGTGTCTCTTGCCAAGTTTTCCACGTGTGTTTGAAATGTGAGACCTCCTCGTGCAGTCCTCCTCAACTTGCATAATGGAATCTTAGCCTCATATCCTGAGCATGTGGTATTAAAACCTCCCAAAACGCTCCATAACGTATATGGGTGGTCTTTTATAAGGAAAAGTCTCCACCAATGGAAAAAAAACCTTTCATTTCTTTCATTATCCAATTTCTTCACCAAAACATCATACATTCATTTACATACAAATTAAAATAACATGGCTCTAAGAAATCCCAAGCCTTGAAAGAAGATGTGTTCATTTCATTTCAATTAGCATTAGGAAGCAGTTCTGCCAATATCATACAGGCACATTTAACTGTGTCTCACAGAATGAATTCTGCCTGAAATATCTGCAGACCTCTGATGTGGAATGACCCATCTTCTCCATGGAGATCAGTTATATAAGTTACCCTGAGCCTTTAAGGGACATCTGCTTTTCATGGTCTAATAGAGGTTTCATAAAGATTTGAGTTCAGTGTCTTTGCACTCACACCAACATTGCTCAGGACATTTTGTCAAAGCTCAAACACGTTACGGCATTGAGAACTGTTGCTCTGGTTGTGTGTGTAGACTTTGTGATGGCAACGACCAGCAACACGGACTCACTGGGGTTGTATTTTTAGACTGTTGACAGTGATCAAAGGATGTGGTTGTGGTGCAGAATGGAGATACTTGGTGCAGTATCCATCAACTAAATCCTTAAGCACTGCATTATCCTGATTAAGATTATACAATGTGCACACCGAAAGTACTTAGGTCGTGTTATAAGTGTTTTATTTTTCAAGGCAAGCTCATGACTTAGTTTTGTATAGATACTGCAGAGGTATTGTGGTCTTTTTCCCAATGGAAAAGGATGTTGGTTTGAGTACAAATTAGCCATGGGAACGTTGACATCCCCGGGCGATCTGCTGAGGCATTCTAAACAGGTAACAATGTGAAAGGACAAGTGAGAGAACAGGTTTTCCTGGTTGCGAGCTGGAGCTCAAGGCTAGAGGTGGTTAATGGAAAAAAGACAGAGGAGGAGCTCAGCCCTGCATTCCACAGTCTCCCTACCGAAACCACGGAGCCCCCCTCTCCCTTCTCTTCAGCCTCGGTTTGTGTTCCCTTCATCTGCTTTTCATGAGAGAGGCAGTTCTGCTTGGGAAGGAAGCTACCATTCCTACACAACGGGGGATGCCGAATCAGCTGGACCAGAGAACAGGCACTCTCTTTTCTCCTCCCCCCATTAGTTTATTCTCAATAGTCTGATCCTGAAAAGGAGGGGTGGACGGGGGAGTTATCTGGCAGCCAGCTGATCTTTGCTGTGGTATTCTGCGAGGGAAAGGAGGCGACTGCAAACTCTTCGTTACTCAGCTGCACCGAGATAGAGGAAGCTGCGAGCAAACATCAACAGTCGCGTGAGAGGAAGGAAGCAGCTAGGCTTTTGAGACGAAAACATGAAGCTCGACTTCAAGACCACGTGAAGCGTTGCCTACCACTGAGAAAAACATCTGCAAGACAGGAGGAGAGAAAAAGAAGCAAGGGGAGACTGACTCACTTGTTTGGATTCGCCCACAAGGTGTTCCTGTAGACGCTTGGCGTGTCACCAGCAAGAGGTCAAAGATGTCTTGGCTGTCACCAGTGCAGTGGGCCAAATGGACCTGGTCGGCCGTTAGAGGAGGAGGGGAGGAAGAAGGTGAGACTGATTTGGGGATGGACGACGAAGCCCTCACGGAAGAGGCGCCAGAGGCTATGCAAAGAGATCAAGAGGACGACGAAAGGTCTCATGGCTGCAGGCAAGTTTAGAACCTTGTGAACTCCATAGCTTGAGTAAGGAAATGAGGATGTGAAGTTGGGGTTTCAGGTTGCTTTTGAGAAAGGAAGTGTGGGATATCTGTTATTTACTATGCTCATTAGTTCTTTTCTTAAATCAAGTCCTTACCTTGAAACATCAAGCAGTAGAGGCCAACCTTAGAAAAACTACCTCCAGAGCCACCTGTTTGAGTCAGATGATGGTGTTAACTGTTCTGAATGTTGTGCAGACAGCCATGGCTTAGCAGTCAGCCACATGGATCAAAGCAGTCAGAGATCAGAGGCTCTGAATGTCGATGTCTGTTGGTGCTGTAGTCACAGTTGGGGAAAGTGGCGTGTACACGGTTGTTCATCTATATGTGTGTTTGTGGGTGTTTTCAACTTCATTGGGGGATTTCCTTAGGAAGTGTGCATGGCTCAGGGTTTAGCTGTTAGTCTAATGTGTCCCTGTGCTCAGATAAAGATCAGAATTCAACCGTTCTCCTCTCCCAACCCCCCAATTGTGACACGGCTAATTTCCTTGCCCATAGATAACACTGTCTTTCCCAGCACGGTTTTCTTTTGTTAAAAAGAAGGCATTTATTTGTCTATTACTCTGCTTCATTATTAGTCGATGCTATGAATAGCATTAATAGTGCTATTGCTTATAGTTAGGGTTGAAGATTTGAAGAAATCCTTGTCCCCCACACCTTTGTGTGACAGACATGCTGTTTTTTGAGGAGAGATGTTAAGCTTAACCCTAACCTTATTTTTAAAGACTTGAATGCAAAAATGTAGTTTATCTCCGTTTTTGTTTATTTAATAATAGTCCATATGTGTCATCTAGGCTAAAGATTTTTGCTTTGTTTTCTCTAAGCTGTGTTGTTGACATCCTGTCTATGTGCAGTTGTTGAGCTGTCTGCTAACATTCCTTTCCTGGAAGAATCCTTTCTTTCCTAACGTCTCACAGCCTGAGAGACCGCCACAAATTAATCACTACACAGACCTGAACAATGGCCCAAAAGAGTGGCAGGATCATGAAAGTTGTAAATATACTTAGAAAAACACACAGTAAGCCACCCACACATTCTGTAGAGAGCTACTCATTTCTATGGAGCTCAGTGTGAGTCAGTACAAGCAGCATGAGTTGTGCAGGCAGGGATTTTATGAAAAACACAGTGATTTTAGGGTTTGAGTTGGGTTTGCAAAACTTGTTCTAAACCTTTTAATAACACTTTATAGCATAAGTTCCTCTATGTTCTTGCCTGTTGTGTTTGTTTGCTGGACTAGTAATGATTACTTCCCTAACGGTATTATGGGGCTGCAGGTGGCCTAGTGCAACAAGACTGGGCAGTTCTCCCAGACTTGGGGACTGATTTCGCACACTCACACACACACAATAAATTAACAATTCTTCCCTTTCAGCTCAGGCTCATGACCATTATGCTCTGTTGTGAGTGTAAAAAGGATAGTTCACCTAAAAATGTAAATGTTGTCTACATGTCTATAAAAGAAGACATTTTAGGAAACTGTAGCAGTTGCCTTTTTCCATTAAATTACAATGAATGGGTCCTAAGAAGTTTTAAGAAGTCATATGTTAAAAGCTGAAATTTAAGTCATCATTCCCTTAACTTAAAAAGCACATGGGTCATCTGGTCTGCTTTTGTGACACTTTTATGTCCTTTCTGAAACTGAAGCCTAATTGCATAATGCGTCTTTTGTTTTCCATGGAAGAAATAAGGTCATATGGGTTTGGAACAACATGAGGATGAGTAAGTAATTTTCCAGGAGAATTTTTGGGTGAACTATTCCTTTAATCTAGAAAGCGTTTCAGTGTTACCTCACACAAACCATCAAAGCAGACCTGATAAACCACAATATGCATAAAGTATTGGCGCCACAGCTGGGATACATTGTTATTATTTAATGCGGACATGATGTGCTCAGTTCAGTTTCGTTTCACCCAAGGCTAAACCTTTAAGCCACATGTGCAAAATGTTTGATTAAATATTGATGTCATTTGATGATCTGATGAGTTTGTATGTTTTTTTATACTGATCACTCCTGATCCAAGATCTGCATTATCCATCTGATTTAAATCCATCTGTGCCAAATAACCATGGCAGTGTCCTTTTGTCGAAGTACTAACCACAGAGTTCTCTTCATTTTCCATCAGTTCGGACTCAGAGGGCCAATTTGAGACACCTGAAGCTGAGACGCCTGTCCATCAGCCATATAAAGAACCACCAGCACTGGATCAACCAATCACAGAGAGCACAGGTAAAAGAAGACCTCAAGAAAAGAGAGTCATAGATACAGACAGTAGATGCCACAGAGCACCTGTCGCTGCATGTGCTTCTATTCCTCTCATGCAATGTGATGTTGCCATGGCAACAAAAGGAAAGTATGTCTCTATGTGGTTGTGTGTGTATATGTATATGTGTGATCTTTTAGTGTCACTTGAAAGCAATATATTGTAGGTAGCATTTCTTGTCATTCCTAAGTAGTATTGGAGGCATAGTGGAGCAGGCACATTATAAATGATACTTTATCTAATAAATCAGCTTGGGTCATGAATATTAATTAGATAGCAATGTTAGTGCACCTGATTTGCTGGAAGGCAGGTAAATGGGCAAAGATTTTTTGTTTGATTGATTTATCATTTCATTTAAACCATCCATCAAAACAAAGAAAGTTCTCCCTTATGATCAAGTGCAAACATTACAAACATTTTTAGCATTGGTTTGACTGAATCATTAAAATGACTGTTTTAAAAGAACAATTGCAAATGCAAATTGGGTACCATTCATATAAGGCCTTACTGTCTTCAACAATAAATTTGATGATTTTGACAAGCACATAGATTCATATTCCAGTTCCTTATCCAGAACAGTTTCTTTTACTTAAAAGCTTGCATCGTTTTCTTAAAATTTTCCTCTCTGCCATCAGACACGTGTCCAAATTCAGGGGAGTGTACCATATCACTAACTCAAAACAGCTGCACTTCCCCAGACTTGTTTGAGGAATTTATCTGCCCATTAGAATCTCATAAACGCTCTAAAATTTGACTTGTCACTACCATTAAGTGAATGCATGAAAACACATGCTACTATTGTTTTTCATCTAAAGCTCTGATGAAGTCTTCCAGTGGTTTCATAGGTGAGGATGAAAAAGTTTCTGTGTTTGCACTGCAAAGATTCAAAGGCCATCAATGCATTTTGACCTCAGCCTGATTTTAAACAGTGCAGACAGTATTAGTTACGTTGTTGTAATTGAGTGGAGGAGGTTTTGAGGTTGGAAAATAGGGGTTTGGGTAAAGAGAGGCCCCTGACCCAGTGTGGGAAAAGTGCACAGCTTGGAATTCAGGAGTTTGGAACTGAACAAAAGCGCCTGCTCCTCTCAGAGCACGTTTATCAATGGACAAGGTCAAAGGCTCACAGCAAAGAACATCATGTGATTTAGTTCTTTGCTCTAAATGCCACACACAGACAATCTACAACACACATTTGCAGTCACTGAAACTGCGCTAGGCTTGCTAGCTAGTTTATTCACAATTAAAATTTTCTCTTGGTTCCCTTCCTAACCCTAATCTCTGGAAGCTTGATTGTTATACCTCACATGAATAAATGCTTTAAAAAAATCTAACTTTTTCAGTGAGTTTTGTGAGAAAGTTTTCCTCAGCATGCTTTAGGCTAATAGAGGAAGCTTTTCCAAGCCTACGTGTCATGGTTTGGATTGCTTGAGCAGACAGACAGTAAAAGTCTGACTCCAGCAGAGCACAATCCAGTTTCCACCACAGACATCCTCACAGCTATACAGATATACGCCAGTGCTGTGCCGTCTGGAAAACACATTTTCATGGCTAGCAGTGCTTTAGCCAGAATTTGTGGTTATGTAAACACAAGCCTTATTGTGTTGTCTCTGCCGCAGGCACTAAATCTTGCTGCACCTTCAGTGTAAAGTCAGATATAAACTCTTGCTGACATCCGTTGCTTTTTGGCGTCAGAGTATATTACTAAAAAATAAACGTTCATTATTTACTGTATAATTGCCTTTTTTACTCTAGAACAAGCTTGGTCATGTACAGTCTCATTTTTATGGCTGTTGTGTGCTGTATCTTTAAGACGGAACTGATCAATATGTTGTGACAGCATTATGCATTTTCCTGGGATGAGTGTTCTTATTATTTTAGTGATGTTATATAATCAAAATCGCTCTGAAATGTCTCTCAACAGGGTGGAGATGAAGCATTTGTGTTTTGAATTTATTAGCTCATGCTGTCCATACCAAGGCTTTACTGTTTTGATGAAATAAACATTGTTGAGGCATCACACTCCCACCACAAATGGAAAGCTCAAGTCACAGCCACTAGGTCTGGTTGCATAACCAATCGCAGTGTGCCTGATGATTCTCCTTCACTGGCATTGTAATGGCCACTGTTGCTTTCGTAGCCTGAATTTGAGCAATCTTTCATTTAGCAGATACCTTGAGTACGAACCTTCAACATTTCAGTTACCTACCCAATATGAATGAATTACAAGGCCCTAAATTGACAGATAGTAAATAAAACCTGTAGAGTTTCCTGTTCTTAAAAGAGGACATCAAATGTATAGGTACATGGCTTATATCTGTCAAAAAGTTTATCCATTGCAGAAATTAGCTTAAAGTATGAATTTTAAGGAGGAGCCTTGACCTCTGGAAGTGATGACAAGAGCAGTCACACTTTAAAAGTGCTGATCAGAGTGTTTTTGTGTCCTCTGACAAGGGCTGTCTGCCATCTCATTTAACACTGAAGGACAGTGCAGTACCAGATGTGTACAAAAAGACAGAAAGAGGAAGAGAAAGCTAGAACTTGGCAAAATCAGGAGATAGATTGGGCATGGGCATTGGAGAGGACTTATGGAAGGTCTGTGAGTGAAATATTGTCATTACAATGCTGAAGGCTGAAGTTGTTTTAATTTCATACACGTAAAGCTATAGTTCCCTAAAATGATAGTTGGTAAAACTCAAGTTCCTCTTTTTGGATGTCCAGTAGAAACCACTGTGTTACAGTTAAAACGTTAGGCTACTAGCCTAAAAGTTGTAATTGTTTATGTGATTTTCACATGATGTTACCTTAGAACAGTGCTAAGAACTTTTTACAGGTCAATCCCCTGGAGAAATCTTTGGTTAAGTGCCTTAAAGCCGGGCTCACACTGTGCGATTTTTAAAAGTCCTTTAGGATTGTACTTGTCAGACTGTACGAACATGATGATCATGTCACACTGTGGGATCTCAGTTGTCATTAATGTCAGACTGTACGACAGTCAAGACGCGTTAAAAACGAGTGCGCGCATAAAAACTTGTCCAGAGTTCTACTTTATCAACCCATACATGTTCAGCGACCGCGAGCTGCATTGCACACGGGGCTGTAATGTTGGCTATCATTAAAAGTATATGAATGGCAGCAATACCGGCATATTTAAGAAGAATAGTGCAAGCAGCACTACACACCCACGTGAAAACAGCAGCGCAACTGGTGTTTATCATAGCAGAGGCGACGTATCATATGAATTCCGTGAGCGGAGGACAAGAGCGCTAGAGTTTATGTGGTTGGAAGAAATCTCTAGCATTAATTCTGATCATGACTTGTCTTGAAAAACGAAGACAGTTTGACGTTCGTCGTAGGAGAACTAAACTTTAGCTATCACACATGGTAGCTCTTATGAGTCATGGATGTTAGCAAGACAAATTAACTATATTTGCCTTTTGTCTTTTGTTAAAAGAGGACATCAAATGTATAGGGACATGGCTTATATCTGTCAAAAAGTTTATCCATTGCAGAAATTAGCTTAAAGTATGAATTTTAAGGAGGAGCCTTGACCTCTGGAAGTGATGACAAGAGCAGTCACACTTTAAAAGTGCTGATCAGAGTGTTTTTGTGTCCTCTGACAAGGGCTGTCTGCCATCTCATTTAACACTGAAGGACAGTGCAGTACCAGATGTGTACAAAAAGACAGAAAGAGGAAGAGAAAGCTAGAACTTGGCAAAATCAGGAGATAGATTGGGCATGGGCATTGGAGAGGACTTATGGAAGGTCTGTGAGTGAAATATTGTCATTACAATGCTGAAGGCTGAAGTTGTTTTAATTTCATACACGTAAAGCTATAGTTCCCTAAAATGATAGTTGGTAAAACTCAAGTTCCTCTTTTTGGATGTCCAGTAGAAACCACTGTGTTACAGTTAAAACGTTAGGCTACTAGCCTAAAAGTTGTAATTGTTTATGTGATTTTCACATGATGTTACCTTAGAACAGTGCTAAGAACTTTTTACAGGTCAATCCCCTGGAGAAATCTTTGGTTAAGTGCCTTAAAGCCGGGCTCACACTGTGCGATTTTTAAAAGTCCTTTAGGATTGTACTTGTCAGACTGTACGAACATGATGATCATGTCACACTGTGGGATCTCAGTTGTCATTAATGTCAGACTGTACGACAGTCAAGACGCGTTAAAAACGAGTGCGCGCATAAAAACTTGTCCAGAGTTCTACTTTATCAACCCATACATGTTCAGCGACCGCGAGCTGCATTGCACACGGGGCTGTAATGTTGGCTATCATTAAAAGTATATGAATGGCAGCAATACCGGCATATTTAAGAAGAATAGTGCAAGCAGCACTACACACCCACGTGAAAACAGCAGCGCAACTGGTGTTTATCATAGCAGAGGCGACGTATCATATGAATTCCGTGAGCGGAGGACAAGAGCGCTAGAGTTTATGTGGTTGGAAGAAATCTCTAGCATTAATTCTGATCATGACTTGTCTTGAAAAACGAAGACAGTTTGACGTTCATCGTAGGAGAAGTTACACTGCAGGACTGTGCGGCAAATCTTCTGACACTGCCAGAATTTCGTCAGAGGTCAAATTTGATCGCAATGGCTGAGAATCGGCTGTCGGTGAACATGTCAAACCAGCAATCAAATACTACAGATTTTAGCCTAGGATTATAGGAATCTTTTAGGATTTTCCCAGGCCAAAATCGCACAGTGTGAGCCGGGCTTTACTTAAGAGTACAATAGTTAAGACTCATGGCTTAGTCCTTGTGGGGATCAAACCTGCAACCTTCCGGTTACCACACCTGAGCCTTAACCACTACAGAATATCCCTCAAACAAACTCAAATGCATGTCGTGTTGGAGCACTAACTGAATTCACAATTCACAAATTCAAGTGTGAGAAACGGTCTCCTCATCACTGGACATGTTCTTTCTTGCATGTAAATATTTTGAACCGATAACACCTAGTATTTCTTAAAGCTGTCTCAATCAGAGGTCAGAGCGAAGTCATACATCTCATTTATAAATAGACTGTCTCTTCCTGTCTCTTAGCAACAGGCTATTGCATCAAAACTCAGTGATGACTGCCAGCAGGACTGCTTGTCAATGGAAAGTGTTTCAAAATGGCTACTTTAAAACTACTGACATAATTTCACACATCTTGTTTCATTCTTGAACATCTAGAATTGCTACAGTTGATGAGGCAGTTTTTCTTCATATCATGGCAGAAAAGAGCCAGTCTTCTTTCCAGTACATCCAAAATGGGTGTGTTGAAACATCTAGCCCACATTTATGTTTGATTGTTGCTTGAAGTTCTGCTGTTAAGTTTTTTATGCCTGTTGGAGACAGGGAAGAGAAGACTATTGTTCAGCTCTTAGCATCCTGAGCGAAGCATTTCCTGCCTTTTCTGTCGTAAGGAAGTCTGTTCTTCAGATGTCCTCCATAGGATGAACAATAGAGCATACTGTATGTGCTCTAAGAACATATGAAAGGAAAAGTAAAAACACCCTGAAATAACAAGAAAAATGGTATTAGATGAATATACTGCAATATTCTGTAACATACTATTGCATACATGTATTTCAATAGGATAATTCTATGAATTTTGTAGACCATAGACAAATAATTGCCTCTTCTACTCTTGACAGGTTTCCCAGAAGTAAATCAGTTGACCTCCATCACAACCAAAACCCAGAACCTGGCCCTGGAAGAGAGCTTTCCTGAGGATGCACCTGCCCCAGTGGTGCAGCAGAGCAGTGTGGACCCAAGCCCAACCCTGAAACTCAGGAACCAGCCTTCCTCTGCTGACATGGATGTGGACCAACCCGATCCTGCTGAAGCAGAAACAACAGATGAGACCAACACCTGCAATGGTCACATTGAAGAGCCATCCTCCAAACCACAGACCAAGTCCCTCAAGCCTAGACCTCCTTCCCTCAAGGTGAAGGCCCCACTGAATGGTGTAGACCCCTACGAGGTGGATGACGATCCTCCGATACTTCCAAAGAGGAGCTACAACTTTGACCCTGATCAGTTTGATGATGCCATAAATCCATTCGCTACCAGAGGGTCCAAGTTGCAGAACTCTCTGCCTGCCAATGCCAGTATTCCTAAATCAGAGTTGACGGACGAAATGCCTGCTCAGCCAGCAATGTTGGAATTTGGACTTGATGATGCCGAAGCAAAGAGACCTCCACCCAAGAAGTCTGGAAAGAAGACAAGCAGCAAACTGAGTACTCCAAAAAAACAAAGACCAAAAGCTGCAGAAACAGCAGCTCCACCACCAGAGACATTATCAGAACAAGACCAACCGCCATCTGAGGACGTGGCTCCCATGAACGTTGATGATATTCCTATTCCTAAAAAATCCTACAACTTTGACCCAAGTCAGTGGGATGATCCCAACTTTAATCCTTTTGGTGGGAACAGTAAACTTAGTAACTTGCCAACACTTCCTGAAAGGTCATATAATTTTGACCCTGATAACTTTGATGACTCTATTGATCCTTTTAAGCCATCAAAGACCTTAGGTGGAAGTGACACGATTAAACCAACGATGGAGAAGCTTACAGACAAACACAAACCAGAAGGATCTGTGGAGCAGCAGAAGAAAGCAGGACAGTCTCCGAAGAAAAACAAAGAGAGGATCATCACGTGAGTGGCAGATAATGCTAGACAGGGAGATAAAAAGTATGTTGTGTGTTGCATCAGTGGCTTTCTTTTGCATCTGTATCTAGATGCTGTGCATAAACTAAGCAAAAAGAAGTGATTTTCACCTACTGAACATTATCAGGCACACCTTTTGTTTTTTACAGTTGGTATGCTACCCTTTCTTTTCAACATCTCAGTTGTTGTCTAATCATGCATCTTTCATGTGGCACAATCGTTTTTCATACGTAGTTTACAGTCGTAAAGTTTACAGTAGTCTTGTTTACACTGTCCCAGTGTATATAGTTCCCACTTTCCGCTAAACTATGGCATCCCCTCTACAAACTAACTCCTATTTGTTTGTGAAAGTCAGGAAGCTTAAAATCACTCCTACATGTTTTCTTCATGCTTCAATCTTGCCCTCTAATGTCTTATGGCACGTCCCCTCTCCACATCCCCTCCTCTCTGTGTGTGCTTCCTCCCTCCCCTGTCCCTTCCTCTCTCATACTGTCCTCAGGACCACTGAGCAAGTGCGGTTTCTCTGTATTCTATTGTAAGTATCCTCTCCTGCCCTCCTTTCCTGTACTTTCGTGGTTATCTCTTCTGTCCCATTGCATGTCATGAGCTCTGTTCAAGGCTGAACTGCCCTCTGGCTCCAAATCATGTACAGAATCAGTCCTCTAAACAAACTAGGGCAGAAGGTCTACTTATTTTTTTCATTGTATTCTAACTGTCTGGCAGACAGAATTGATTTCCTCCATGGCCATTTTGTAGTGATTTTCACATCCGACTCTCTCAGGTGGCCAGTATACAGATGGTCACTTTACTAAACAGTGTTGTAAAGCACACATCAGTCTTTGGATTGTAAATATGTATTCTCAGTTTTTATTCATTTAAACAGTTTTTTTGTAGAATACAATGACTATTGTTATTTCTGAGTGGTTAACCAGTGAGTTTTTCAAACTCTTTTCAAAACAGACTTGTTAGCCAAGGTATTGCTGCATAGCTTGTATAGCTTACATAGAATATAATGTAATTTAAATGTTTTGAGGCTAATACAACAGTGGTCTTGTATTGGACACCTGCTGGCGTGGATGCAGCATCTCGTGAAAACCTAAAGTTTTTGGTTACCGATGCCATTGTATAACTATCATTTATAACTCCCATATTTGCAATCATATTTATCACCCATTAATTATTTATATTGCAAACAAAAAAAAAAGTATGATATTGATAAATGGGTTTATCGAGATCTGTATTGAGTATTATTTTGGTTATGTGATCTCAACATGGTGACCACTATGTAGAAAGTTAAACAGCTTTTTACAGGGCATTGATACGACTGGAGTTTTTTATCTGATATTAGTGTACATAATTTTAAACAAATTTATCCATAAAAATGAAAAACAAAATATGTGTACTTTCAATGATACGTACAGAAACAGAAAAAACATATGCTGAAATTATTTTTTTTCTTTGTTTTTAAAAGTTCACTTGAAAATGGTTCAAAAATAAAATGTGCATTATGCACTGACAAAATAATCTAAACAAGAACAAAATATAATCTAATGTTGTCCAATCAGCCACATCAATATGTCTTTCTGATACTATCGGTATTACTGCTATCACTACAATAGACTTTAAAGAGGGAAGTTCTTGCTAAAAGTTGTTTCAATGATTCTTGCATATTCTGATTCTGTCAATATTCTTTTCTCCAGGAACTCATGTAAAGTAAAGAAGTATGAGAATCAGTCCTTAGTCCTGGATGTCTGCAATCAGGTATCATTTTAACGCTGTCCAACAAATTGCTAATTGTGTGCATCTTGTTCTGTGTGGGCATGTATTTGCATCTGTGTGTGCGTTTGTGGGTATGTACATGACTGTGAAAGCATAACATAAGTATATATTATAAACAAAGCCTCTAGATTTGCTGTATTGTCTTGGATTTTGTGATTACTGCAGTAACTCAGCAAACATCCTCCTCCTTGTTCCCTCACTCCCTCCCTCGTTCTTGTCTCTCTCTCCCAGTATCCCTCTCTGAACAAACCCTCCTCTTCAAATACAGTATCACTATTGCCCCCCCTGAACTAGGACAGTAGTGTGCATCATTGTTGTGTGTGTCTGTGTGTATGTGCACAACACGAACTGAAACGGAATGCAGTTCCCAAAGCAGGTCTCCATGTCCGCCTGTTCTTTTGTCCCAGAGAGTTTAAGACTATGAGAAGAACAGAGTCTGAGGGGCTATGACAATTTTTTTAGACTGTTCAAATATTTGGCTTTTTCACAGCTGAACTGCAGTGCTATTTTGTACGCAGAAAAAAAAATCTATTTACCATCAGTGCAAAATCTGTGAAGTCGGCCTATGAACATTAGAAATCAAGTCTATAACATTATTATCTACAGGAGAAAGACGAGCAGGAAGATCCAGCTTCTAAACTGCCCCACCGTGTCCATCACGCCACAGATGAGGAGAAGTTAGCCTCCACTGTCATGGGCCAGAAGGACGGGCCGGAGGATTTTTCAGACTGCACCAAAACAGCCACCTCTACCAAGACTGCAGACGGTGAGGGCGGGGGAAGTTGTGGGCTTGTTACTTCTCAGTCTGCTCTATTGTAGCAGTGTTTATTCTCAGATAATAAATCAATAATCATTAGAGACTGGGGCAATATGTCACTAATGAGGTTTAACAAGCACTGCTCTGTTAGACTGGACAGTTTGGGGGCATTGTTCAGACTCTTATGAATGGGAAACAGACTTACTTGCTCTGCTTGCTTCTCTCTCTCCTTCAGGAAAAAAAGAACAGCTCTCTGTTCTGTTGGCATATTCATTTGCCCAGTAAACAAAAACAGTCGCAGACGGTCCTGTTATTCCCATTACATTTTAAATAGGATCTTTTGAGCTACCAGAGAGCAATTAGGTTAGGCAAGATTGTGTTCTTTGTCACATGTAGTTGATGAGCAGTTAATATAGCAGTGTCATGGATGTTTAAAAAAATGGTCCTGGTTACCTTGTTTAAAGACAACGTGAAATCAAAAACACATATTATTCTAAAGAAAAATATGTTTGTTGTCATAGTCTTTTATGAAAATGTAAATATATCAGCTTCACAATCTAGTACTTTTTTATTTTGCTGCTGACGTCGTGTTTAAGACTGCGCGAGCGGGAAGCAAATAGGTAATATTAACCAATGAGATCATAGCATAGCCTTCACACGATCCAATCAAATCGCAGTGGATACAATGAAGTCCCGCCCTTCATGGGATGCCGCTGAATATTGATTTACCTAGAAATACATGACATTACAAAAGGATAAATTCGTTGCTAATGCCGTTAAGGGGTTGTCTGTAGATAATACCTGAATGAGGACTTTTAATACCTGCATAAAGACATAAATATACGTCTTTTCTTTTCTTTTCTTTACTTTTCTTAAAACGTAATTATGTGTAGATAAATGCAGAAGAACTGAACGCAGCATAGCGTGTTTGGTCTGAATTCAAGTGTCCATTATTAGAGCCTGTGCTGCCCTCTATTGGCTACTTTATGAATAATTTTTTATATTATCTTAATTTTTAAGCCATAGAGAGACTGTTATAACCTGTTTAAATACTTTATTATACTGTTTAATCTTTTTAGAAATCTTTATCCACTTGCAAAGTAACAACAACAACTATTTATAAAATCGTAGGAAATGGTTCAAGCCAGTGATAATCTGCCTTTCTTTTCAATCAGATCTGCCAGTGGGCATAACAGACCAGTTTGATGAGAAGGACCTTTCCTCTCCTGTAAGTTCTGATTTGTTAGTGTCTATTAGATATGGCATATGATATTCAAGCCATTCCTGCATATATGACTACCTTCAACACATGAATTTCTAGCAGAGGTGCCATTTATCTGCCTGACAGGGATTCATAATTATAAACCCATTAAGAGGATTATGATGTCCACAGGCCTTAATCTGCCCAAGGGCAAGCTAATAACTGGGTCAGAGGAAAGAGTGTAGTCATTGTTTCGTCTGATTGAAAAATTTGGTATTATGTATGTTACCGTATAGTATTATAAGAACATAAAGTATAATAAATGTCTTTCAAAATGAAATAGTTCCTAAATCTTTTCTCTGATTGTGTTTATTCTGCAGAGTGAGAGTTTGTGTAAGAGTCAGACTCTGAGTTCTTCAGACAGTGAGACCATAGTGAAGACGAGTCCAGGGCTGGATTCCATTCCTCTCAGTGAGATAGATAAAGCAGCAGTGCTCACACTGATCAGAGAAGAGGTAACGCCAACATCTGCCCTGTGTCTAAACTGTTTTAAATAAGCAGTCCCATTACAATGTATAATAGTACATGTAAACACATGGACTGTTTATAAAATTGTGTTTTTGCACCTGTAGATAATTGCCAAAGAGATAGAAGCCAATGAGTGGAAGAGGAAATATGAAGAGAGTAGACTGGAAGTTATTGAAATGAGGTACATGGGAGGAACCCTTCCCAGAATGCACCGGGGATGGTTTTATGCTCACACAAGTTTAATGCCCGCACAGTACAGTCCCAACAATGAAACATTCTAACATTATTTACTGATTTTTCCATAGGAAAATAGTGGATGAATATGAGAAGACGGTAGCTCAAATGATTGGTGAGTGATCTACCTCTCAGAGCTGTTTTAATAGAATTCTGAAAATATTTTTTTTAAAGGTTAAATGTTTTATGTCTGGCTTTTTTCCCAATACAGAAGATGAGCAGCGAAAGAACATTGGATCTCAGAAAAGCGTCCACCAGTTAACCTTGGAGAGAGATCAGGCCCTCGCAGACCTCAACTCAGTGGAGCGCTCGCTTTCCGACCTGTTCAGACGCTACGAAAACATGAAGACCGTTCTTGAGGGCTTTAAGAAGGCAAGATATCTTCTTTAATGTCTGAAATGCTGACTATATAAATTATTCCTCTGGATATGCACTGATGTTCCTGCTGGTCTCTTGTCAGAATGAGGAAGTGCTAAAAAAGTGTGCTCAGGACTATCTCACACGCGTGAGGCAGGAGGAACAACGTTACCAGACCCTCAAAATCCATGCAGAGGAGAAACTTGACAAGTAAGAGCGATATTCATCAGTTCTAATGTAACCTAATGTAATAATCTAATGTATTTTACTCTTATCGATTGATCTCTGACCTGCATATGTTTTTTCAGAGCAAATGAGGAAATAGCTCAAGTGCGATCTAAGGCCAACGCAGAGAGCGTGGCACTGAACGCCAGCCTGAGAAAAGAGCAGATGAAGGCAGAGTCAATGGAGCGGGCGCTCGAACAGAAGGTAAACTCACACATTCACATGCAATATAACACATGCTGCAACATCAAATCGAGAAAACATTATTTAAATCCACATTATTATTTCCAGAATCAAGAGATTGAAGAGCTTTCTAAGATTTGTGATGAGCTCATTGCAAAATTGGGCACCACGGACTAAGAGGAAGGAGAATCTGCTTATATCGCCCTGTCTGAGCCAAACCCACCCTGGCCAAGAATGCCACTAGATCTCCCATTGTTTATTTTCATTTTTGGAAAGGAGTCACTTTTCCATGGGTCTGGCTCAGGCACTGGAAGAAACAAGATATGAGCTGAAGAATCAAATAAAAGAGTCCCAAATGTTTTTACAGATGCATAAAATGCTGATGTTGGACTTACACCTATATTTGGTGGTATAATGTTTCTTGAAGAGGGTGGGAAACACCACCCACATATTTGATTCTGATCTCATTTCTGCTGGCTGTTATGGCAGCTGTGTACGAGCGTTTGGGAGAGCCTCTGGGTGTGTGTTCAGGTGTAAAGAAACAGACATGGGATGAGGGTCACTAGCCTTGTTCATAGTTTACATGATTGCACTGCTGCTATTTGTAACGGAGGGAGCAAATCATATTATTTACAACTTTTAGTTACATTACTTGCTTTGGAAAGTACTGTAACCTGTTTAATTATTTGGCTATATATTATAGGTTCTGATATAAATATGTGACCCTGGACCACAAAACCAGTCTTAAGTCGCTGGGGTATATTTGTAGCAATAGCCAAAAATACATTGTATGGGTCAAAATTATTGATTTTTCTTTTATGCCAAAAATCATTAGGATATTAAGTAAAGATCATGTTCCATGGAGATATTTTGTAAATTTCCTACTGTAAATATATTAAAACTTAATTTTTGATTAGTAATATGCATTGCCAAGAACTTCATTTGGACAACTTTAAAGATGATTTTCTCAATATTTAGATTTTTTTGCACTTTTTTGCACCCTCAGATTCCAGATTTTCAAATAGTTATATCTCAGCCAAATATTGTCCTATCCTAACAAACCATACATCAATGGAAAGCTTATTTATTCAGCTTTCAGATGATGTATAAATCTCAATTTCGAAAAATTTACCCTTATGACTTGTTTTGTGGTCCAGGATCACATTTAAGGAATTTAGTACAAGTTGACAGCACTGGTGGTATAATGTTGATTACCATGAAAATGTTTCTGTAAAAAAAAAAACACACACACAGAGAACTCCTAGCAGAGGTGCCATTTACACAATGGAAGTGAACGTAAATATAAACATGAAAATATTCACTATTTCAACAGTATAGCCACAAGAAGTACACAATATGCATGTTAACATGATTTTAGTGTGAAGAATTGCTTGCTAACCTTTTTTTGTGTAAAGTTAAATACAATTACTAAATACAATACTACTTTGTTGCCATTAAAACGTAAAGCCTTAAACACTGAAACCCTAAAAAATTATGATTTAATTAGCTTTAGAGCTCAAATAATATGCACGCTTCAGCAAACAAATTAATATAAGTGCTTTTATGAAATTAGAAGCTGCATATTTCTTTAAATCCCATTCACTTTAATTGTAAGAGCCTCACCATTGCCTCAATTTTAGCTTTTTTTCTAAAGAAAAGAAGGGATGAGTCAAAATGAGATTTTGTGGTAGTCAACATTCTGCCACAAATGCTGTCAAGTTTTAACTCGTACTGAACCCGGAATATTATTTCACTGAGTAGCTTTTAGCATATTCAAAGCTGTTATTGAAGAGAGTTTGTAGACGGTTGTAGTTCCATCCATTGTTTTCTTACTCTCTGTGTGTTTAGGTGCCAAATTATCATCATTTATCATATTAAGCGTGCTCTGGTGTTACTAGATGTTCTGGTGGGTGACTTATTTCTAGCCATGAGGTCATAATCATCCAATCAAATGCTTGCTTGCAAATTTTTACAGCACAAAAGCAAACCTAACTGAAAGCACTTAAACTTTCTTTTATTAATGAATTACTTTGGTTTCAAAGTCTGCATGAAGTACAGAGTTTATCACAAGTTTACACTCGGTTTAATTGTGCTGTGTCGAATGGACCGAATCTTTTTCAAAACATTCAATGAAGTCATTTCAAGAATTGACAATTTTTTGCCGGACTTGCTAAAGTATGTGCCTAATGCTGAAGTGATGCTTTCTATTGGCTGTTGCTTCTTTTTTACCCACAATTCCTTTGTGCTATCTTATGCAATATTTCAGCTCAGAATAACCAACTGCCAAACGAAACCGCTATCCATGAGCCAAACATTACCAGGTCGTGTGGAGAAGTCGAGCCTGTAAATTGTCATGTTGTTGTTTCAAGAGCGTGTTGGTGTTCTTTACAGTACTCACTGACCTGTGTATATTTTTATGAGAACATGTTCTTTTATTGTGTTATTAATGTTTGTAAAGTGGAAGAGAAAGAGAGAGTTGCACAGAAATCCTGTTGACTAATATATATTTTGTGCATAAATGCATTCCCTGAATAAAATGTAAAAAATCGCTTGATGACACTGGTTTTGAATTTCATATAAATATTGGTTAACAACACTTTACAATAAGATTCCATTTGTTAACATTAGTTAACTACATTACATAAACTGACAATAAAAATATTTCATTTATTAATTTAAGTTAATGTTAATTTCAATATTTGCAAATGTATTATTAAAATTTAAAGTTATTTCACTTAATATTATTTAATGGACCTGAGATGAACATGAACTAACAATTAAAAGTTTTAGTGCTGTCAAATCAATTAAATGCGATTAATTGCATCCAAAATAAAAGTTTGTGTTTACATAATATAAGTGTGTACTGTGTATGTTTACTTATATGTATATATAAATACATGCACATGCATGTATATATTTAAGAAATATTTACATGTATGTATGTGTGTATATATATATATATATATATATATATTCATATTTATATTTGATTTATATTATACATAAGTATATTACATATATTTCTTGAATACATGTATGTGTGTGTGTATTTATACTAAACACACACATATATTGTGTAAACTTACATTTTATTTATTTAAAACAATTTAAAATTATTGAAAACAAAATTTTATTTTAGATGTGATTAATCGATTTGACAGCACTAGTATTTTTATCAACTAACATTAACAAAGATTAATAAATACTGCAACAAATGTATTACTTGTTGTTAGTTAATGTATAAAATAATATTAACTAATGGGACCTTTTGGGTTTCAGTTTACAGAAATTATTCTCATGTTGTGAGTGTGTTGCATACAGTAGCTAATCTCTTCTTAAGAGGGATATCTAGTGACGGTAGACTGGATATTAATATGTGCGCTCAGAGAGATTGTCCTTATGTTGAGGACAGATATACTGCAGTGAATTCAATCAAAACAGTGTTGTGCTGCAAATACACAAAATATGAAAATATACTGTACACAGATAAACATGATTGGTGAAAGTAGCCATTCTGTGGCCTTTTGTTAAGTATAATTGATTTGCATAAGTCTTGCACTAAATTTTAAAAGGAAATCTGCATTAAAACTATATTGAAATATCCAGATCATAGATCATTTCCCCTTTTTACCGGTGCAATCCCCTTCATCCTCCATCTGCCCTGGTTTGCTGTTGCTTGCGCAGATGCGTAGTGTGTGTTAAGCTGGTGTAATGCTCATGTGATGGATGCTCACTGTGGGATTATGGTGAGGTGCTGAGGTGTTTTGGAGTTAAGACTTCCACACTGTCCCAGCTTTTTTCTAATACAACCTCCTCAACATGAAGACTGTCCTCGCCACGCTGGTCCTGTTCGCCGCTGTGCTACACAGTGAGTATCTCTATAGTACCAAATAGATCCAAATACACATTATCAAAATAGTTTCACATCACTTTATGGTTATTAATGTAACGCTGCCGTTACTTTAAGTGTTAATACTCCTGTAATTGAGATTTTACAAAAATACTTACAGTAATGGGTTAGACTTTATTTGGTAACACTTTATTTTAAGGTGTCCTTGTTACACGTAACATGTACTTACTATTATCATAACAATTAATTATGCATAATTACATGCAAGTAGCCAAACCCTAATCCTAACCCTAACCATATAGTAAGTACATGTTGTTAATTAATATTACTCAGAACTTAAAGGTATAATTACACTTTAACAAGGACCCCTTAAAATAAAGTGTAACCCTTTATTTTAAGGTGTCTTTGTTACAGTGTCATTATACAATCAAGTACTGAGTAATTTGAATTAAATTAATAACATGTACCTTTTTGGGTCACTGGGTGTAACTATGCATAATTTACAGTTATTACTATAATAAGTACATGTAACACTGTAAAATAAAGTGTTATCCAAAAATGGTAACATATAAATAAAATATTAAGTTTTTGTCACACATGAGAAATCTGTGTAGGCTATACATTTTTACAAAAAAAGTTTATTATTATTACTACTACTGTTGTTGTTTATAATAAATATGTATTAAATATGTAAATAACATCTCATTTTATATACATTTTGCAACACAGCAACAATAATTATTATACAGTAGTAATACAGCGGATAGCAAAACATACATTTTATTTTCCTACTGTCCTTGTGAAATGATTAATAGCATCTGTATCAAGTTTGAAGTGGTTTAATCTCAGATCAGCTGTGTTGTCTTGTCCGATGTGTGAAGGTGAGGGGTTGAAGTGTCACACCTGTGTAGCAAATAACCTGGACGAGTGTTTCCGGCAGGGCTCGACTGTGTGTCCTGCTCATTCAGATGCCTGCTCTACCATCACAGGACCCAGTGAGTACATGCACACACATACAGTGCTTCATACTGCAGTTCACATGTTGAACACCTGGGGGTGACCTCACTCCTGACCAGTTGCATAAACTTAGCCACCATGTTAAGACTGTGTCTTAAGAACTAGTTTGACCAACTAGCAGATGCCAAGGGGTAATCAGTCTTACTTTTTCCAAGATTAATAGGACCAATCTACCTTTTCATAACTGAATTTTAAAAATTATGACCAGTCTTGAAGAAAAACAAAACAAAACATTTTTAAGACTTAGTCTAAACAGTTTATGCAACCGTCCCTATGTCTGTGTTGTGTTTCAGTTTAATATAGTAAGGGAGACTGGGGCTAGTTGTCACATGTTTTACTCCAGTTTATTCCAGTGTGTTTATTTTATTTTTTATTTTTTAGAAAGACCATTTCACACACCTTAAAGACTTGGTTGCAAATAAAGCTAACCGTTATTGCAGAATATTGGTTGTGACGCAAATCCGCGATACACTCTACAAAGTAAGTTAGGCTAATTGTCAAAATTGAACCTGCCATTAAACAGTAAAGATTAATGGCAGGTTTAGTATAATTTAAACATTAAAGAAAGATAAATTCTGTGTGTTAAAGATAAACTCGTATAGCTGCTGGGAATCAGTGATTAAACAAAGAATTCACTGACGGGTAATACAATGTACAAATTATAAAAAAGTAGGCCTATAGGTTTGACTTAAAACATTAGCTATAATAAATAATAGTAAATGTTATAGTTACAGCATAGATACATTTCTGTTTTGTATTTAATAATACATTTCTATCATGTAAAACACATCACAACTTGCATAAACCTGATATTCCCTTATAAAAATTAACCACCACCGAAAAAAAACAAAAACATGGTTACTATAGTTAAACCATGGTAGCCACAAATTAACCATGGTTT